GATAGACTGTTTCTCCAATCTTCTGTCTGGCCTCCTCTAAGACATTGTCCACACAGCTGCCCCTCTAACGATGCCCCTGAAAGGTGAAACCCAGTGGCCCCACCTCCTCTGCCTGACCTCCAAGACCCAGCATGATCCAGGCCACCTCTCCTTCTTAGTCCCCCCTGCCACACACACACCCTCCTCTGACCTCACTGGATGTCCTCCAGGTCATGCTGTCCCCTCCATCTTCCCCTGCCCACCCCACCCACCGTAGCTCATATGTCACTCCCACCTCCAGGAAGCCTTCCTGATGGCACTGTGTCAGCCGATTCAGGTCCCCGCCTCTGTTTCCAGTGCATCGGGGGCTTCCTTGGTTATGGTGCAGCATCCCCTGTGATGAAGGCAGAAGCAGGGGGACAAAGGGAGATGACGTGGTCCAGAGGAGATGACGGGGCTTGGGCCAGGACTGTGGGGACGCAGATGCTGAGAGGCAGACAGCTTGGGGCCTGGTTTGAATCAGCAGGATTTGCTGAAGGGGTGGTGTGGCTGCTGGGAAGGAAAGCTCTAGACTTGTCCCTGTGCTCTCCCCTCTCTCCCCTCTGGTCCCAGGAAGAGCAAATGAGGCAGAAGGACTCCCGGGCACGGCTCACCAGCTGCCTCCTCCGGAACATGAGGGCGGTCAAGTGCCACGGCTGGGAGGGGGCCTTTCTGGAGAGAGTCCTGCGCATCCGGGGCCAGGAGCTGGGCGCCCTGAGGACCTCCGGACTCCTCTTCTCTGTGTCTCTGGTGTCCTTCCAACTGTCCACGTTTCTGGTGACGTCACCCTGGTCTCCCTGCAGAGTGTGGGCTGGGGAGAGGGGGTGTTGGGGGAGGAGGATGAGGTAGGTGGAGCCCCCGAATCCTGGAGCCTTTTTGCAGACCGCCCTTCCTGGATCCTGCTCTCGCTCAGGGGTCCCTGCTGATTAGCTAATCAGTCAGATCATTCCCCGAATGCGGCAGTGTCTGGGAAGGCCTGTCGTTCTCCTGAAAGTTCGAGTCTTCTGAACTGCCGCTTCTACTGCTGTGGGGAATTGGTGACAGGTGCAGGCAGCTGCAGAGATGGAACCCCAAGTTCACCCTGCTGTGCCCCCCCACACACACACACACACTGGGCACAGTGCCTGTCCTGTCTTTTTCCAGTTGATTTCACAAATTCCTGCCAGATTAGCCTTCTGAAGCATGGCTTTGACTGCAGTCACGCCATTGCAGTCAAACCCACAATGACTCACTGCTGTGTCCAGAATAAAATTCAAACCATAAAACATTCAAGGCTGGTGACAAGTGGGCCTTAACCACTGTGTCCAGAAGGATCTAGAATCCCAGGGGCCATTTGCCAGGACACCAGATGTCATCAACACAATCAACACTCAGAACTGCAAGTGCCATCACTTAGAACCACGAGGGCTCCCCCAAAAGGATCACTGAGTCACCATCACAACAAGTGACCGTCAAAGTGATCAGCACTGACTAAGCATCACATAAGTGACCATCACACCAAGTGACTTCTAGAGCCAACACATCACCAGCATCTAGAACTGAACCGTCACACCAAGTGACTTCTAGAACCAACACATCACCAGCATCTAGAACTGAACCGTCACACCAAGTGACTTCTAGAACCAACACATCACCAGCATCTAGAACTGAACCGTCACACCAAGTGACTTCTAGAACCAACACATCACCAGCATCTAGAACTGAACCGTCACACCAAGTGACTTCTAGAACCAACACATCACCAGCATCTAGAACTGAACCGTCACACCAAGTGACTTCTAGAACCAACACATCACCAGCATCTAGAACTGAACCGTCACACCAAGTGACTTCTAGAGCCAACACATCACCAGCATCTAGAACTGAACCGTCACACCAAGTGACTTCCAGAGCCAACACATCACCAGCATCTAGAACTGAACCATCACACCAAGTGACTTCTAGAACCACAAATGCCACCGATACCTAGAGCCCTCAAGTGCTGCCAATACTTGCTACTTTCACAGACTTGCTATTTTCCAAGGGTTTCTAGAATCACAAGTCCCACCCACATCTGGAACCACAAACTTCTACACGATGGCAAATGCCACCGATACCTAGAGCCCTCAAGTGCTGCCAATACTTGCTACTTTCACAGACTTGCTATTTTTCAAGGGTTTCTAGAATCACAAGTCCCACCCACGTCTGGAACCACAATGCAGAATGGTGGTATCCCCCAATGCCTGGAATCCAGAGTTTCTGATACCTACTGGCAATGGGGCCGTGTACGCACTCCCTTCACCAGTAGCAGAATTTGGGGGGGAGGAGGAGGAGAGGGAGTGAGAAAGGGGATGAATCAGAGCAGCAAACGGGGAGGGAAGGGGCAGAGGCTACGGCAGAAGGTGTCAGCAAACATCCTCAAAATACACAGCCTCACCAATCCAGCAATCTCACATGCATGGATTCATTTCGGTTCCCTTTTTACACAAAGCAATTTTATCTTATTTCTCTTCTTTACGGACTCTACTCATGTTGTGCCTCCTTGGGGGTGATGAAAATGAGACAGCAGTTGCCTGATTGAGCCAGTCCTTTCAGACTTTGTGACTTTGACTTTCTGCAATTGTTGTCAGAAGGTCTGTGTTTTTCTGCCTTTACAACTGATAATCCTCATTCCCATTTCAGCCTTTTTGTTGTTGTTAATCCTCACCCAAGGATATTTTTCTATTGTTTTTTTTTTAGAGATTGGAAGAGAGAGGTAAAGACAGAGAGAAATATTGATGTGAGAGAAACACATTGATTGGTTGTCTCCTGCACAAGTGCCGACCAGGGCCTGGGCTGGGGAGGAGCCTTCAACCAAGGTACGTGCCCTTGACCAGAATTGAACCTGGGACCCTTTGGTCCGCAGGTTGATGCTCTATCCACTGAACCAAACCGGCTTGGGCCATCCCTCTTTAAATGGCCCCCTTTGACCTTTCCAAGGAAGGGTTTGGGGTTGGGAGCAGAGGGCACCCCCAGGTGGACAAGGCTTAGAATCGCTCCTGATAATAGCCTGCTGATGCTGTCTTCCAGGGTGTAGCCTGCAGAATGGCAGCTCCATCTACCAATTATGCTAATTAGGAGCAAGGAGGGGGGAGGGCACCACCACCATCACTGCCACCACCCTCATGAACATCATTTTTGTCACCTAAAAAGCTTTGGCCCTAGCTGGTTTGGCTCAGTGGATAGAGCGTTGGCCTGGGGACTGAATGGTTCCGGGTTCAATTCCGGTCAAGGGCACATACCTCGGTTACAGGCTCTTCCTGGGCTGGGCCCTGGTCAGGGCACGTGCAGAAGGCAACCAATTGGTGTGTTTCTCTCACATTGATGTTTCTCTGTCTTTCCCTCTCTCTTCCACTCTCTTAAAAAAAAAATCAATGGAAAAATATCCTGGGGTGAGGATTAACAAAAAACAAACAAAACAACAACAAAAAAAAGCTTTGTACTAATTTTTGTACTAATGCCGTGCAAGTGAGCAAAGCCTGCAGACAGGAAGCTTTTCCCACCCTCTTGAGACACCCAACACCCAAAGCCTGAGTTCTTTTATTTTTGTGTTTTCTATTTTTTGTTAATTCTTACGTGAGGATATTTTTTCCATTGATTTTTAGAGAAAATGGAAGGGAGGGAGGGAAAGACAGAGAGAGAGAAAGAAAGAAAGAGAGAGAGAGAGAGAGAGAGAGAGAGAGAAACATCGATGTGAGAGACACATAGATTGTTTGCCTCCCGCATGTGCCCCTACCCACCAGGGCAGGGGAGGGAACCTGCAACCCAGGTACGTGCCCTTGACCAGGAACCTGCCGCCCTTTGGTGCGTGGGCCGATGCTCTAGCCGCTGAACCGCACCGACCAGTGGCAGCCTCAGTTCTTTTTTGGCCTTCCGGCACGGGTGACCCCAGCTTTGTTTTCCCCAGTCCCGGGTGTCCTTCGACCGCCTGGCCGCCTTCCTCTGCCTGGAAGAAGTTGACCCTGAGGCTGTGGTTTGGAGTCCCTCCAGAGGCCGTGAGTGCTGGGTTCAGCAGGAGGGGCGTGGGAGGGATGAGGGTCTGAGCAGGATGCCAGGGTCACACTCAAGCCAGTGAGAAGCAGGCAGTTTGTTCAGCAGGAGAGGTTTCGGGCTGCCTCTGGGGGGCGGTGCCTGGGGGGCTCTCTGGGACAAGGAGGCCAGCCCGGAGCCTCTGGTGTAACGGGCCTTTTATGCCTGCAGCCGCCAGGGAGGATTGCATCAGTGTGCGAGAAGGTACCTTTGCTTGGTCCCTGGAGAGCCCGCCCTGCCTACACAGGTACAGAGGGGCTTCCCTGGTAGCTACCTTCCGCTGACAGGGAGAAAACACACTTCCTACTTGAGAGATGGTGCGGGTTTGCAGCCTGGGGCTGGAGGGTGGGTGAGCCTGGGCTGGTGTGCTGCCAGGGAACTCCCAGGAGCAGCCCCGTCAGAGAGTCTCAGAAAACAAGAGCTCCTGCAGATGGGGGGACGGGGCATCCACGCCTTCCTCTCAGGGAGGAGGCAGCCTCTGCTCCCCAGTCTGGACAAGATGGCACGAGAGTCCTGGCCAAGAAGAGCCCTGGCCCAGTCAGCCATGCCTGCTTCGCTCCCTCCTGTGTCAGTCCCTACATCATCGTCACCTCTAGCCTTCAACTCTTCGGCTAGGTCTTCGTAGCAGAAGACCCCAGTCAGCCCCAAAAGTCCCTATAAAGGGAACTAAAATGCCCTGGCCAGGATCTGTCGATTGTCATTTGCTCACTTCATAGTGTTTATTGAGCACTTACTATGCGTCAGACCCTGTTTTAGGCACTAGGGATAAAGTGAACCAACCAGAAAGGACCCTGCACCCTTGGGGCTGACATTCTGATGAGGGGGGCACGCAAATGAGAAACCAGTGGGAGGTGACAGAATGTGGTGTTGACAGGATCCTGCGTAGTGAGAGAAGGTCTGGCATTTAAACTGAAATCATAATGAAGGGAAGAAATGAGCCTTGCACACGCCTGAGAGAAGAGCTTCCTAAGCAGTGGAAACAGCATGTACAAAGGTCCTGGGGCAGGAGTATGCCTAGACCCAGGTGCCTTCACCTCATCATATTAGCCTCTGGGGTTGGATAACTCTGTGAGGGGGCTGTCCTGTGTATTGTGGGATGTTTAACAGGACCCCCGTTATTCACCCTCTAAATACTGGCAGCAACCCTCTCCTCAGTTGTGATAACTCAAAATATCTTTAGGCATCACCTAATGACACCTTGGGGGGCACAATTCCCCCCGGTTGTGTTTGAGAAACAGGAGGTCAGTGTGGCTGACGCAGAGCAGCAGGAGGCTGTGCATCTTTCAAGACTGTCAGAGCCCTGCATGACATGGGAACTGGTGGAGGGCTTCAGCAGGGGATTGTCATGATCTAACTCGGGTTTTAACTCCAGTCTCTTTGGCCCTTGGGTGGAGAATGAACAGGGGCAGGGGCCAAGGACAGAAGCAGGAGGAGCAGTAAGGAGCCTATTGCAATGATTGAATCAAGACACGATGCTGGTTAAATCCTCCTGCCACAATAAACTCTGTGTGTGTACGCATGTGCATACATATGTGTGCATGTGTGAGAGCATGTTTGTTTACATGTGCAGGCATTTGCGCGTGTCTGGATGTGTGCATGCATCGTGTGTGTGTACATGTATATGCATTTGTGCACAGTGTGGTGTTAGATGCGCACACATGCATGCACATGTGAACATACATTTATTTAGATATGCATGCACTTGTGTGTGTGCATGTGCACATACATTGTGGTGTTATGTGTGTGGATGTGCATGTATGTGTTCCCATGCACATACATGGGATATAATGGCTGCTTGCGTAGCCAGACAAGGATTAGGAGAAGGAAGGACTGCCCCTGAACATCCTCTTAGCAACCTCCTGGATGAAGCACCAGTGTGAAAGCCTAGCTGTGTCTGGGGTTCACCAATTCTGCACAGACTCAGGCTGGGCCTACCCAGGATGCGTCTCCCCTGCAGGATAAACCTCAGCGTGCCACAGGGCTGCCTGCTGGCTGTGGTTGGTCCCGTGGGGGCAGGGAAGTCCTCTCTGCTCTCCGCACTCCTCGGGGAGCTGTCAAAGGTGGAGGGGACCGTGAATATCAAGGTGAGGCCACACCCCCTGCCTTTCTGCTAGAATGTCCCCCCTCCTAGAGCCCTCTCTACACCTCCATGCCCCTCCCCCTCCTCTCCATTTTCTCTCTCCACCTTCCACCACCAGCAATAGCCTGGCGCTGGCTATTCCTCCATAATCGCTCCTGCCTCCATCCCCAGTGGCCTCATTGCCAAAGTGAGTTGTGTTTTAGGGTCCCGTGGCCTACATGCCCCAGGAGGCCTGGGTCCAGAACACGTCCGTGGTGGAGAACGTGTGCTTCAGGCAGGAGCTGGACCCATCGTGGCTGGAGAGGGTCCTGGAGGCCTGCGCCCTGCGGCCAGACGTGGGCAGCTTTCCTGCAGGCGTCCACACCCAAATTGGGGAGCAGGTGAGGGCTCCGGCCTTCTTGGGACAGGGAGGCACTCTGTCTGGGGTCATTTGCTTCTTTCTCTGAGCTGGGGATACTGTGGTGAGAGGGACAAAGGGGAGACAAGGAGGGCAGGGAAGTGGGGGAGAAAAAGGGCTCAGCTTAGGGTCACGCACATAATAGGTGCTCAATGAATTGTTATTAATGAATGAATGATAGAAAACTGAGGTCAGGGAGAGCCAGAAAGGCACGGCAGGGATTGGCGGTGACCGGCTCTCCAACTGGGAGTGGGGAGACCTAGGCACCTCTCCTGCCCTGCATTTTTGGGTGACGTTGGTCAAATTGCTGCCGGTCCCTGGACCTCAGTAAAAGGCCTGGGCAGAGGTAGCCAATAAACAGGACAGATGCATCCAGAGCTATGGATTGGGCAGGGTTGGCAAACTATGACCACAGGTCAAATCCGGCCCACCATCTGTTTTTGTAAATAAAGTTTTATTGGGACACAGCCATGCCTATCTACGTACCAGTGGGCCATGGCTGCTTTTGTACAGCAAGGGCAGAGATGAGCAATTGTGACAGATACTGCCTCCCCCCCAGCCCCCCAGCAAAGCTTAAAATGGTTACTATCAGGCCTTTTACAGCAAAAGGCTGCTGACCCCTGGATTAGGGAATTGAGAGTGGAAAAGTAGGAGTTCAAGTTAAGGAAATGGGTGGGATTTTCTGGAAAGAAGGGGAGAGGGTGCAGGAGAGGGTCCCCTATGTGAGAGGAGCATCCAAAGAGGAGGACGAGGTGCTTCGAGGCCAAGCGAAAGGTGTTTCAGAAGCAAGGGGTGCTTGCTGGCCTCTGTGCCTGTCCAGCTGTGTCCCATCCTTTCTGATGGGACGCCCGTCCCAGGGCACGGAAGCCCCGTCCTTCCAGAGCTCAGATCCCAAACCTCTGTGTTACCCTTGATACCCCTCTTTTTCTTACACCCTCATCTAATCCATCGGCTAGTCTTGTTGGGTCCACCATCGAGGCAGACCCAAAATGTTCTGGTCCCATCTACCATCAGCTCTCCCTCACGTTGCTGCAGCACCCCCTGGCTGCCCTCCTTGTTTCTGTCCTCAAATCCCAGCAGCTAAACGTAGGTCAGATCATGTCCCTTCTCTGCTTGGGATCCTCCAGGGTATCTCCACTCAGAGTCAAAGTCGAAGCCCTGACCATCACTGACCAGGCTCCCCCTCAGTCCGGCCCCAGTCATCTCTCTGGCCCCATCTCCCATCATGCTCCACTCCAGACACATGGTTCTCCGCATGTTCCTTGCAGGCTCCCCCTCAGTCTGGCCCCAGTCATCTCTCTGGCCCCATCTCCCATCATGCTCCACTCCAGACACATGGTTCTCCGCGATGTTCCTTGAACACCCAAAGCACACCCTCACATCGCAGTGGTTCTCAACCTTCTGGCCCTTTAAATACAGTTCCTCCTGTGGTGATCCAACCATAAAATTATTTTCGTTGCTACTTCATAACTGTAATGTTGCTACTGTTATGAATCGTCATGGAAATATCTGATATGCAGGATGGTCTTAGGCGACCCCTGTGAAAGGGTCGTTCGACCGCCAAAGGGGTCGCGACCCACAGGTTGAGAACCGCTGCATTAGGGCCTTTGCACCTGCTGTTCTCTCTGCTTGTATAGCTCTTTCTCAGGAGTCCACATGCTCCATCCCTCACTTTTACCAGGCCTCGACTTACATGTTTTCTTCATGTTTCCACCTAACCCCGCACAGCAACCCTGCTCACACTGTACACCCTAGGCCCTTCCCCTGCTTTATTATTCTTCATAGCACATGACACCATCTGATAGGTGATATATTTTACTCATCTGCTTATTGAATATCTGTCTCCCACCCCCACCCTCATTAGAATGAAAGATCCATGGGAGCAGGGGCTGGGCTTTGTTCATTGCTGTGTCCCAAAGCCTAGAACACTGCTGGTATAACGTAGCCTTGCAGTACATATGAGTGGAATGAGTGAATGAATGAATGAATGAAAATAAGGACTGAAAAGCTGCCACTGGATTAGGCAACAGGCAAAGGATGACTGGTGTCCTTGAGGAAGGCAGTATTGGTGGAGAAAATGGGAACAGAAGGCAGATTCAAGTGGAGGAGGAAGCGAGCGGGAGGAGAGAAAGCCGTGGAGGGTGCAGACAACTCCCCCGGAAAGCTTGACTGGAAGGGGGAGAAGGGAGGCCGGGTAAAGCCCGGAGGTGGAGGAGTATTGGTTTGAATGCAAGTGTGACAGCTGGGAGGTGGCCCTGGAGGACAGGCACAGTGAGCTGTCCCTCATTCTGATAAGCAGATGTGGCCCCGTCGTAACAGCTTCACCCAGCCTCATCCCTCTCTTGTGGCCACAGGGCATGAATCTCTCTGGGGGCCAGAAGCAGCGGGTGAGCCTGGCCCGGGCCGTGTATAGGAAGGCTGCTGTATACCTGCTGGATGACCCCCTGGCATCCCTGGATGCTCATGTCGGCCAGCACATCTTCAATCAGGTCATCGGGCCCAACGGGCTGCTCCAGGGAACGGTAAGTTTGGGGAAATGTATCAGAGGGCACAGGGCAAAGGCAGAGAAAGCATAACCCAAGTCTATCTCACCACCACCCTCCTTGAGTCCAATTTTCCTCTTTGTAATGGTCAGCTTTTTCTTGACAATGCTACATAACAAACAACCCCCTGAGCCTCAGTGGCTTACAACAGTGGTGACTTTTGGCTTATGAGTGTGTGGTTAAAACTGCTGCAGCTCTGCCTCCCTCCCTCAGGTCACTGGGTTCAGGTGAACTGCTTGTTTTGAGACATAGGTTGAAGGAGCCCCTGCATATCTGTATTGTGACATTGCTGTTTGAGAGATAAAGGGCAGGAGCTTGGGAAGGGGGAACTTGCCCCCCTCTGAGCCCCAGGCTTTGGAAGACTGGTCAAGCACCCGAGTGTAACTCCCACCCCTTCCCTTCCCAGACACGGATTCTCGTGACCCACGCACTCCAAGTCCTGCCCCAGGCTGATTGGATCGTGGTGCTGGAAGAGGGGGCCATTGCAGAGATGGGTTCCTACCAGGAGCTTCTGAACAGGAAGGGGGCCCTGGTGAGCCTTCTGGATCGAGCCAGACAGCCAGGAGGTAGAGGAGAAGGAGGTACTGACTGGGCTTTGCTGGTTCTCTGTGCCTGGCTCCTATCAAGGATCCCACTGGCATGAGTGGATTGCTCTGGCCGCACCCTCCCTGCAAGTCCTGGCCTCAGGCAGGGGCTATGTTAAGCGCATCTTTAAACATACAGTATTTAGCCCAGACAGTGTGGCTCAGTGGTTGAGCAACGACCTATGAACCAGGAGGTCACGGTTCAATTCCCGGTCAGGGCACATACCCGGGTTGTGGGCTCGATCCTCAGTGTGGGGCGTGCAGGAGGCAGCCAATCAATGATTCTCTCTCATCGTTGATGTCTCTCTCTCTCTCTCTCTCTCTCCCTCTCAGAAATCAATAAATTTAAAAAATAAATAAACATACAGTATTTAATTTGATCTTCACAATAATCCTTTGAGGCACATGCAATTCTTGCTGCCATTGCACAGGTGAGCAAATTGAGACAAAGAGAATTAAATAATTTGCCCAAGGTCACAAGATTAGAATTTGAGTTTATGCCCATAACTGCTACAGAAACTGAGCAAGTTCACTTGGTGCCTAGAGGCCAGGTGACCCAAGCCACGCTAGCTAGGGCTTCTCATGATCCAAAGAACACAATGCCTGCTGGGAAAATGATGATGTTCTGGAAGCGAAGTCACCAACCCAAGCTCACCCAGAGTGAGCGATGGGGAACAGCCCCCGGCACCTCACCTCCACTGACTCATTTACTCATCTCTACGCCTCTGTTAGGTCAGCACCTTAATTACCTCCATTTTACAGATGAGGAGACTAAGGCCCAGAATAAGGAACTGGCCCGAGGTAACATGGCTTAGAGGTGGCGGTCCTGGGATTTGAACCCAAGCAACTTGACCGAGAGCATGTGGTGTTTCGCCCCTCGGCTGTATACTGCCCCTCCGTGACAAAGCGAGACTCGCACCCCGGTGCCCCAGCCCCAGGCTCTGTCTCCTCTGAAAATATCTGTTGAGCGCTGGTGGTGATTCACAGTGTCACTGTCCTGGAGCTGAGGATGGACCCTGCCCAGGCCAGGGGGATGGTGGGGGGACCAGGGCCCTCCCTGGGGAAGATGACACCTAAGCTTGGGTAAAAGTTGGAAAAGAACATTCCAGCCACAGTGAACTGCTTGTGCAAGGGTGTTGGGGGAACGCGGAGTAGTGTGGCCATGGCCATGTTTACTGATGTATTCCAGCCCCAAGTCCATAGCAGGGGCTCGATTATATTTACTGAGTAAATGAAGGAGTGCGTGATTGGATGGATAACATTCCTGAGAACCCTGGGAGGACTGCCAGAGGTTGCAGGAGCCAGAGCAGAGGACACGGGTGCTCAGACAAGTTAAGGCCATACAGCCAGTGGGTGTCAGCATCCGGACTCCACTGTGTGACAGGACTCTCTTGACCTTGCAGAAACAGAACTCGCGACCAGCATTCAGGACCCCGGAGGCTCTGCTGGAGGCGGGAGGCCCATGGGTGGACCAGAGAGGTGAGTTCATTGTGGTCCTGAGCACAGGGAGGGCACAGGCGGAGGCTGAAGACCACCTGCGGCTCGGGCCGGGCGGGGGGGCGGGCAGCCAAGACTCTTCTGGAGCGAACACCTGCTGAACACCCACCATGGTGCTCAGCTGTGGGATAACTCACCAAAAGGTGTTTGACAAACAAATGGGTAAAATGATTAAGTCCCCAAATGCCCAGTTCACAGAATGACCAATTTGCCTTGAAGTGCAAATACACTGCGTGGCCAGATTATTATGACTGGCCAGATTATTATGACCACCCATCAGTACAATGAAGTGAATTAGTTATGCAAATAATAATAATAATAATAATAATAATAAAACCTTGAGAGTATTTGCTTAGGAGGGTTTCAATATTCAGTATTTTTGGAAGTGTCAATGAAGTACTGATGGGGTGGTCATAATAATCTGGCCGGTCATAATAATCTGGCCACTCAGTGTATATAGATGATAGATGGATAGATAGATAGATAGATAAAGGATGGATAGATGGTAGATAGATTGATAGGAGATAGATTGATTTGACAGTATATATGGATGAATAGATATAGAGATAGATGTATAGATGTAAATAGATGAATATGTAGACAGATGATAGATATAGATAGACAAATGATCAGATAGATTGATAAATGATAGATGGATCAATGATAGATTGGTTGATGTATGATAAAAAGATAGATAGTTTGTAGATGGATAGATAGATAACAGATTGGTTGGTAGATGAAAGACAGATAGATAGATTATCCCCATTTTACAGCTGAGGAAACTGAGTCACAGAGAGGTTAAGTCAGCTGCCCATGGTTTCACATTTAAGGTTAAGCCAGCCCCACTCATTCATAGATGAAAGGAACATAAAGAAATCTTCAACAAGTGAATTGTGCAGAATTGACATTCTGCCAACCTAGAATGACAAATCTGAGGGTAAACAACAGGGGCAAAATGATTGCAGCAAAGCTTAGGCCAAAAAAACACAAACCCTCCCAAAACCAAGTTCTGAGGTTGGGCAAATAAGTTCATTCAGTGAAAGGGTCTTGAAACAATGGGCTTGTTCGACTCTGGGGTAATAGATGGCATTTAGTTGGGCAGTACAAAGGGAGGGCACAGCATGGCACCTACTTGGTACTCAGTGTGTTGATTGAATGAATGTATGAATGAGTGAATGAATGAATGAATGAATGAAGAGTGTACCCCGGAGCTCAGTGTTCTATCAGTGGCCATGACGGTTGGGCACACACACACCCCAGGAAGAAAGACTAATTTGTCTGCATTTCCTCTAAGTAACAGGTCCATGAAGTCAATCCCTGAGGACAGCACCACTTTGGAGGCCCAGACAAAGGTTCCCCTAGATGACCCTGAGAAGGCAGGACTGCCAGCAGGAGGGGACAGCGTGCAGTATGGCAAGGTAAGCATCAGCTGCTCCCTGCCCTCCACTTCTACTGCTACTGCTGCCCTCCGGGGCTCAAGACCTGCCACCAGATAGAGCACTGGGTGGGGGGAGGCAGTCACATTTATTGAACATCTACTATGTGCCAAGTAAGATTCTAGACACTTCCTATTTCTTAATGTTCACAAGCACTCTAAAATTAGATGGAGATGTCCTATCCGGTTTGGGTCAATGAATAGAGCGTCAGCCTATGGACTGAAGGGTCCTGGGTTCGATTCTGATCGAGGGCACATGCTTGGGTTGCGGGCTTGATCCCCAGTAGGGGGCATGCAGGAGGCAGCCAATTGATGATTCTCTCTCATCATTGATGTTTCCATCTCTCCCTCCCTCTCCCTTCCTCTCTCTAAAATCAATAAAAATATTTTTAAAAAATAAATAAATAAAATTAGATGGTGATGACTCCATTTTAGAGGTGAAGGAACTGAGGTTTTAAAGAGTTGGGAGGCTCCTCTGTGTTCTCATAGCTAGCAAGTGACCAACTTGGACTCAAATCTAGGTCATTCCTAATCTGGAGCTTGTACTATTCCTTCTCTGCTGGTTCTCCACCCATCCACTCACATACCTACTCATTCATTCATCCACCTGTCCACCTTTCCACTCATTCACCCATCCACCTACCCCATCTGTCCTATTCACCCATCCATCTACCCATCTACTCACTCATCTATTCATTACATCCAACCTTCCAACCACCTATCTATTCATCCATTCACCCACCCATCCACTTACCTATCTTCCATCTACCCACCGATCCATCCACCCATTTATCTATCCTCTCATCCATCCACCCTTCCATCCATCCATCCCCACCCACCTACAGACCCACTCATTTATTCATCCATCAACTCATATATCCATTCATTTACCCATTCGCCCAACCACCCACTATCCCACCCAACCATCCACACACTCATCCACCCAGCAAACATTCCAGAGCCTCCATTACGTGCCAGGTAAAGTCTCTGCCCAGGTGGAGATGGCTTGCTAGTGGGGGGAGAGAGTCAGCAACTAATTAAGCTAACAAGCAAGGTAATATCAGATAATGATAAATGCTACAAGACAACACAGAAGGGCAATAAGATGGCAACCAACCAACAGGGGCCCGCTTGGATAGGACGCTCCCAGAGTAGCATTTGAGCTGAACCCTGAGGGATGCAAAGGAACAAGCTCTGGAAGGAGCAGAGGGAACAGCATTCTGGGCAGAGGGAACAGCAGGTACAAAGGCTCTGAGGTGGGAAGGAGCAAAGAAAGGGATCCCAAGAAATCAGCAGGTAGTGAGTGGGGGGGTAAAGTCAGAGAGGGGTACAGGAAGTCTGCAATTTCTTCTGAGAGCAAGAGAAACCATGTGCCGGTCAGCAACAGCAAGATCGGGCCAGGCTGATATTTTCAAAAGTTCACTCCGGCTGCAGCTGTGGGAGAACTTCAGGTTGGTAGGGGGTGGACTTTAACCAAGTGGCTTAACCTATCTGTGCCTCACTTTCCTTATCTGTCAGATGAGGATAGAGACACATGCCTGTCCCATAGTAAGTGTTCAATAAATCACTCCAAAGCCAGGCAGCGCCACAGCCTGTCACTCTGAAGGCTCCACTGGCCCTCTGGCGTTCTGTAGAGGAAGGGGGCCCTGAGGCTGGGTGGGGCCTGCCGGGGAGATGGTGCTCCAGGTGGGAGGTACTGAGAGAGGACCTGTGCGGTCTGCACGGTGGTTCCATCTGCCCTAGTGGCGTGTTTTGGGAGCCTCACCTGCTTTTCCTCTCTCCCCTCCCCTGGGCCCTCTCTCTGCCCCCATCTTTCCTACGTGTGCTACAGGTGAAGGCCGCCCTGTACCTGAGCTACATACGGGCCGTGGACACCCCACTCTGCCTCTACGCACTGTTCCTCTTCTTCTGCCAGCAAGTGGCCTCCTTCTGCCGCGGCTACTGGCTCAGCCTGTGGGTGGACGACCCCACCGTGGATGGGCGGCAGACACAGGCGGCCCTGCGAGGCTGGGTCTTCGGGCTCCTGGGATGCCTCCAAGGTACCCCTCACTGGCCTTCCTCACCCTCCATCCTCATCCCCATCCGGGTGCTCAGGGCTCCCTGGCTCTCCCATCCCTGGATCACTGTTCTCCCTGAAGATCTGTGCAAATATCCTAGGTCTAAGCCCAGACCTGCATCCTTAAGATGGGAGGCGGGGGACACGGCACATCCCTCCCTTTCTGGAACCCTCAGAGTCTCTACCAGACTCACTGGCAAATGCAGACTGTCGACCTCCAGATGTTGGGGCAGCTGAGTACTTAGGTGGGGGCAGACACAACAATTCAGCTGGCTCCGCCTCTCCCCCCACCCCAGCACAGAGGGCAAGCCCAAGGTCTGACGGCTGGGGACTGTCAGCACCCCCACCCCCACCCCTTCAGATGAGCTTCGTGTTTTTTGATGCCCTGTTGTTAGGGACAAACACGTTAAGAACTGTTGTCATCTTGGAGAATTGACCCATTATCATTATGTAATGCCCCTCTTTTTCCTGGATAACTTTCCTTAGTTTGAGGTATTCTCCATTTGAAAATAATAACAATACTAACTATATGTCTATAATAGAGGGTGTCCCCCCAAAAATATACACACTTAACAGCTGATTGCTCCATTGATGTTTCTTTTTCAGATTTCACCCATCGGAATTATTAATTATTCAAAGTGTGTATACATTTTTGGGGACACCCTGTATACTAACTATATGAATATATATCTAGTTTAAGCAACAAGAAAATGTATTGCCTTACCTGGTATAGGACTGGAATCCATAGATAAGTAGCTTCAGGTATGGCTGAATCCAGGGCTCCAATGAGGCTGTAGGAATGGCTTCATTTTCTTCCTCTGTGATAGCTTCCTGTCCAGGCAGGCTTCTCCCCCTAGTGATGAGATGGTATGCCACAGCTCCATCTTGGCCACCTCAAAAAAGCAAGCACCTCTTTCCTGAAAGCCCTAGCAAAGTCCCAGGTCTCACTCTCATTGGCCCGTGTTGGGTCACGTGTTCATCTCTGAACCTACTGCAGTGGTTTGGGTTGGCCAGGAATGAAATTTGCCCCACCCCAGAAACCGGGAATGAAGTTAGCCCCATTCCAAGCCCATAGCTTGGCATGGGAGGAAGGGAGTATATGTTTCCGAGGGCTACCATAAAACAAATGACCACAAATTTGGTAGCTTAGAAGAACAGAAATTATCTCACAGTCCTGAAGCCAGGAGTCCAAAATCAAGGAGTCGGCAGGATTGGTTCCTCTTGGAGGCTCTGAAGGAGGATCCATCCTGTGCCTCTCTCTCAGTTTCTGCTGGTCACTGGCAGTCCTGGCGTTCCTTAGCTTGTAGCATGTCACTCCAGTCTCTGCCTCTGGCTTCACATCACCATCTGTGTCTCTGTGTGGCTGCTCCTCTTCTTTTTTTAAAAAATATTTTTTTATTGATTTCAGAGAGGAAGGGAGAGGGAGAGAGAGCTAAAAACATCAATGATGAGAGAGAATTATTGATCGGCTGCCTCCTGCACACCCCACACTGGGGATCAAGCCCACAACCCAGACATGTGCCCTGACCGGGAATCAAACCCTGACCTCCTGATTCATAAGTTGACGCTCAACCACTGAGCCAGGTGGGCGGTGCTCCTCTTCTTAAAGGGACACTAGTCATTGGATTTAGAACCCACCCTAAATCCGGAATGATTTTATCTCAAGATCTTTCACTAATAACATCTGCAAAGATCCAAATAAGATCACACTCCGAGGTGCCTGGTGGAGGGTGATTCCGTCAAGGGATCATCAGGGTGGCCAAGTCATGAGCTGGCCAACATGGGTGGGGGTGAGGGTCCCCAGCCCTCATGCTCTGACACCCTCTCTTTCCGCAGCTATAGGGCTGCTTGCCTCCACGACCACAGTGCTCCTAGGGGGCATCCGGGCATCCGGCCGGCTCTTCCGGAGGCTCCTGTGGGACGTGGCGCGGTCTCCCATTGGTTTCTTCGAGCGGACGCCCATGGGGAACCTGCTGAACCGCTTCTCCAAGGAGACAGACACCATAGACGTGGACATCCCAGACAAACTCCGGTCCTTGCTGATTTACACCTTCGGACTCCTGGAGGTCACTCTGGTGGTAACGGTGGCCACCCCGCTGGCTGCCGTGGCCATCCTGCCATTGCTGCTCCTCTACACTTGGTTTCAGGTAGGGAGAGGCTGGGCAGGCTCCTGTGGCCAACTGAGGTCACCTCAGCCAGGCCCCTGTCCCTGGGCAGGAGTCCGTGTAACAGGTTCTGCCCAGCTGGGCAGTTGGGGCCACCCCTGAAGACTTCCCAGAGGCAGAGACACCAGCCTGTTTCTAACACCTGTTCTTATCTGTGTCTCCCAAATGTTCACATCGAAGTGCTTCGTAGCTAACATTTTGTCCTGCTGCTGCTGAAATGAGCTTCCTCCTCTCCAAATATTTGGAAACCAAAAAGGCATTGCAAGGTCTCAAAGACTGCATTAGACTAGCCTCTTTCAGTTGCCAGAGACCAACTTAAATGAGTTTAAACAGAAGAACAGAATTTAATGGCTTACGTGCAGTAGTTGCGGTGGCCAGCTGCCACCAGGATGCAGTCACTCTCTGTGGCCAAGTCATGAGCTGGCCACCATAGGTGGGGGTGAGGGTCCCCAGCCCTCATGCTCTGACACCCTCTCTTTCTGCAGCTATAGGGCTGTTTGCCTCCACGGCCACAGTGCTGCTAGGGGGGATCCGGGCATCCAGAATGCTCTTCTGGAGGCTCCTGCTCTTCCGGAGGCTCTATGGTTCTCAAAGTGTGGCCCTGGGCCAGCAGAGAATTGCCTGAGAGCCGGTTAGAAATGTACATTCTCAGGCCCTACCCACAACCTACTGACTCTATGGGAGTTGGGCCCAGAAATCTGGGTTTTAATAAACTCTCCAGGTAATTCTGATACATTCAGATGTTTAAGAACCACTGATTTAGCTCTGCTTGGCCCAATTTTGCACACACTCTCTTTCCAGGGGTCAGGTTTGATGGTCCCTTGCAACCTTATACTCATAGCATCCCACCTTAGCAACCCCAACACAAAAAAACCTTTACTCCAGCTCAGTGTTCGTATATCAATCCCAGGGAAGGTTCTGATTGGCCATTTATGGAGCATGTGTTTATCCCTGAACTAATCACTGTGACCAAAGGGAGAGTTTAGTCTGACTGGTTGGTTTGTATCATGTGACCACCTCTACAATCAGGTCCCACAATTGACAGCCACTTCCCTCAAAAAAAAAAAATCAGAAGTAGAGTAGAAGCAACCATGATAGTCAGACAAAAACCATGGCCACCACTGTCCTCCACAATGATCCCAGGTCTTCTCAACGTCCTCTTGACTTGGGGAGGGACTACTTTTCCATCGAGAGCTTGGGAGTCAGGCAGAGGTGGGTTTGAATTCAGGCCCGGCCACGTGCTGGATATAGAGGTTCAGACCAATTGCTCTGAGCCTCAGGTGTGCTCACCTGTAAACTGTGAATGCCACTGATGCCCACCTCACGATTACTGAATACTGTTTGTAAAGAGCCTGGACTGCAGCCCGGGTGTTCAGCAAATGCACGTTCCCCCGTGCCAGCTGTACATACTTGCAACCTCAAACCAATGAACAGCACCTACTATCTGTGCATCATTATGTTCCCAGCCCCTGGCATGTACGGTAACCCTAGAGTTAAAGACATGAGTTCCACTTGGCCGACTGCCTTCCTTTGCCCTTTATGGTTTTGTTCCCACGGTAACTGGCCCTAAGTAAAGCAGTTGGCCTTAGAGCTGGGAATGAGACATTTACACCAGATTAGTGGTTTCTCAATCCTGGTTGTACAGTAGAATTACCAGGAAGGAGTTTTAAACATACCAAGGCCTGGGTGACACCACCAGAGATCTGATTGAACAGGTCTGGGTTGGGGCACTGGAGGTTTTTGAATCATCCCCTGTGATTTTAAAAAGAACTACGGAACTCTGATTTTGCAAGGAAATTGGAGTCCAGAGAGGAAAAGCAACTGGCCCAAGGTCACACAGCAAACTAGTAACAGTACTTGGGATTCCCTGAGCTTCTCAAACCACCTCTCTGTGTCTGTGACTTCTCCCCTTCCCACCACCCCCCCCCCCCCCCTTCAGAGCCTGTACGTGGCCACTTCGTGCCAGCTCAGACGCATGGAGTCAGCCAGGCACTCCTTCGTGTGTTCCCACGTGGCGGAGACGTTCCAGGGCGGTGCAGTGGTCAGGGCTTTCCGGGCCCAGGGCCCCTTCGTCGCTCAGAACAATGCCTACATGGATGAAAGCCAGCGAGTCAGTTTCCCACGGCTGGTGGCTGACAGGTAGGAAAGGAGCAGAGAAGACCTTGCAATCCATCTGTGTCCCCAGAGCGTATCATATTGTGTGGCCAGAGAGGTAAAGTGGCCTGCCCAAGGTCACACAGCGCGCTGGGGATGAAGCTGAGGCTAGGTCCCATGGGTGTACTTGGCTTACACTGTGAGTGGATGGAAGCTAGCCTGAGGGGCTCCCAATAGCAGGTGGGCAAGGAGGCACAGATGTCAGCAAAAGGGAAGACGCCTCTGTTGCCTTGGTGACAAGGCAGCAACATAAGCATCCTTGGCCTCTTCTTAGTACTAAGCAAGAATAAGAACACAAGCTTTGAGCACAGACACAGGTTCAAATCCCAGCTCTGCAGCTTACGAGCTGGGTGTTCTTGGGCACATTATATAACTTCTCTGAGCCTCGTTTGTCCAAGTGGGATTGCACTCATGGAGTGGCGATGCGGATTAAAAAAATACACTCATAGCTAATACCTGTAACATGCTTATTATGTGCTCAGTACTGAGCACTCTACATGGCTCAATTAATTTAATCCTATTAGTAACCCCGTGAGGCAGAGACTGTTTTATACATGGTGAATCTTAGGCAGAGAGAGATTTAGGAACTGCCCACGGCCACACAGTGAATATGTGGTAGAACCAGGATTTGAACCCAAGGAGTCTGGTACCAGAATATAGAGAGTGAAGCACACAATTTATTGATTAGGTGCTCAATAAATGTGAATTCTTTCCCCGCTTTTGTCAGCTCCCTAGTCAGCTGGGGCGATCAGGCCCTGTAGCTGTGAGCAGTGTCTCAATGCCATATGCCTTTTGGGTAACCTGCCTTGCCCCTTCCTGGAGTCCTAGCCTAGGGAGGAGGAACCTTATGAACATTTAGAAAGCACCTACCATGTGCAAGCCTCAGTGATTTCCATGCTATATATAGCACATCTCACTGAAACCTCTCAACTGTAATGAATCAGATGTTACTTCACTCCATAGATGGGTAAATCGAGGTTCAAAGAAGTGAAGGGTTTCCCCAAGGTCTAGGGAGTGGGAGAACCTAGGTGGGTCTTTGTTCATTCATTTGTTAGTTGGTTCATTGAGAAAAATGACCTGTTGGAAAGGGTATGTGCTTTCTGGCATCATTCAGACAGATGTGGCCTCAAATCCTGATGTTTGTTATGTGTCTGGACTTAAGCAAGTACCTTACCCTTCTGAACCTCAGCGTCCTCAGCTGTCAAATGGGGAAAACAACCACCCCCTTTGTGGGGTTGTTGGGAGGACTTGGTGTTATATGTAGAAAGCCCAGAGTTCCCTAAAGACAGGGATTTTTATTTGTTTGGTTCATGGTTGTATCCCCAGCACCTCCAATATGCGTAGCACACAGTAGGTGCTCAATACACATCTGCTAATGAATGAATGAATGGTAGAGTAGGAATTCAATAAAAGGGGGTGTGCATTTATTCATCCATTCAGCATATATCTGTCGAGCACCTACTCTGGGCTGGGTCCTATGCTAAGTACTGGGGACAGAGCATGAAGGAGACCAAGCAACTGCCTTCGCAGAGTTCTCGATCTCCTGGTGGAGACTGAGAGTCAGGGACTGATTAAGTAGTTGAATTATGAAGAATGACGACTGTCAAGAAGGAAGTTATCAGTGCTGTGTTGGAGAGAAAAGGAGGAGCAGTCCTGGAAGGCTCTCTGAGGAGGTGATGTTCAAGCTGACCTGTGCATGAACATAAGATGGTGGCCACGTGAACATGGAGACTGGGTTTAGTCCGGAAAACACAAGGGTATATGACTTGGCATATCCCAAGCACAGAATATTGGCAGCATGGCAAAGCTTAACTAAAGCACCTACTGTGCGCCGAGCCCTGGGCTGGGCACAGGTGAGACAGCATTAATTCCCCACCCACTGAGCTTGGGTAGGGCCTGGGTATGGAGGATGCCATGGTCAGGACCCCCATGGGCACTCAAGCTGGCACCATGATCAGACCTTGTGCCCAGAGGAGCAGGTCCCACAGAGAGGGCCCCCGCTGACCCTGCTTGTACCTGCACCCCCTTTCAGGTGGCTCGCTGCCAACCTGGAGCTCCTGGGGAACGGGCTGGTGTTTGCCGCTGCCACGTGCGCTGTGCTGAGCAAGGCCCATCTCAGCGCTGGCCTCGTGGGCTTCTCCGTCTCCGCCGCCCTCCAGGTACTCCTGACACCCCAACCTGATTCCAAGGAGTAGGCAGAACAGAGACAGACCGATCCATGTAAGGGGGACCTTCAAGGACCCAAGTCCAAACTACCAAGCAGTGAGGAAAACCAGGCTCTTACAAGAGCTTAGCTGAGGTGACCTTGCTGGACCTTGAGCAAGAGTCTTCCGTCTCCGAGCCTCAGTGAGCTCATCTGAAAAATGGGGTATTAATCCCTTCACTAGTTGAGATAAAGTATATAGAGTGTATTCCCAGTGCATTGTTAACTTTTTGTTATCTATTAATAACAATATTTGATGTCAGGTCATGCCATCTGTGAAGGGAAAAATATACTTGTAAGTAACATTCATTATGAATGAGGCATTGTTCTAAGAGCTTTATAAACATTAACTCATTTAATCCTGCCCCCAACCCCATCAGGGGTACTATTATTATCCCCATTTTACAGTTGAGGCAACTAAGCGTAAGCCTAAAGCAAGGTGAGAGGTCAAAGCTTGGTGGGTGGGTATTCCTCTACTGCTTGGCCCAGAAGGCCTCTCTGTGGAGGGGGCTTGTGAGCTGTGGCCCAGAGGAAGGAAGAAAGGGAGGGAGGGAGGGAAGGAGGAAGGGAGGGAGCTTTTTTGGGGAAGGGACCAGCAGGAGGAAAGGCCCTGGGATGGAGGGGGGCGGGGGGCGTGACTGGTGTGCTAGAGGAAGAGCAAGCAGGTGGTATGGCCAGAGAGTGTGGGCGAGGGTGAGATTGGAGGGAAATGAGTTTGGAGAGAGGAGGGTGGGCCCTGGTGAGAAGCTGCCCATGGTTCCAAGTGTGATGAGCAATCGGGGGAGGAAAACCTCTCAGAACAGAAGTCAGCGGGGCCTGGGGCCTGCTGGGTGTCCCTGGGAGGGCCATACACCCTCTCTGGTCCTGTCTCCCCACCACCTGTATCAAGACAATGTGGACAAGCTGAGGTCTGAGGGCTCCTTTCTGCTCTGCATGCTCTGGTTCTACCGAAAGGAGAGGGGAGTCCTGGAGGCTACAGTCAAGTCCAGTCCCCTTATCTGCCCGAGGCCTGCCTCCCAGCCCCTGCTTCCAGGGAGCTGATGCAAACCTGTGGGGTGGTTTTACTCAAGCCAATCTGAGGTGTCTTCTCACACCAGGTGACCCAGACGCTGCAGTGGGCTGTTCGCAGCTGGACAGACCTGGAGAGCAGCATCGTGTCGGTGGAGCGGATGCAGGACTACACTCGGACACCCAAGGAGGTGGGGGGCAGTGGGGGTGGAGGGTCTGCCCCACCTGGGACTTACAGCAGAGGGCAGTGGGCCAGGTGGACGTCTGCCGTGGGCTTTGGAGCCCCCACCAGTGTAGGCCGGAGTCCCAGCCAGGGCCCCGGTAATGGTTAAGAGCATGGGGTCTGGAGCCGAGTCAGATCCTGGGTCCTTTGCTCCCTTGACTGGGCAAGCAGGTCCTTCTTCTGAGTGACAGGGGACAGGAGGAACAGGAATGCCACCGCCAGGTAACGGCACATGATAGCGACATTACAGGGACAGAAGAGCCGCAGAGCCACTAACAATGCTGGGTACACTGGGAGGGTCAAGTGAGATCCCACAATAAAGGGCTTACTTAGTGCAGGGTCTGGCGCAAATAAACAAGCAATACACGCCCACTGCTCTCATTAGCTCCATTTCACAGATGGGGAAACTGAGACTTAAGAGGGTGGAGTGACCTGTTCAAGGTCACAGGGATACCAATGGCAGCATTGGACTCCCTGCTGCACAGACCTGCCCTCTTCACAAAGGCAAAAAAGAGGACCTACCCTACTAGAGGAAGAAAGAATATTATTTGACAATTAACAGTGGCTAATAATAATTTAAAAAGATAAAGAATAGCCAGCGCCATCATTTTTATGCTACCAGATATTTGTTTTTAGCTTTGCTATGTTCCACGTCCCTATAAAATAGCAGTAAACATACCCATTTTACAGAAGAGGAAACTGAGGCTCAAAGAGGTAGACCTTTTGTGAGAAGCCTCAGAGAATGGCTCCTCTGACTCAGTGTCCCCTTCTGCCCCAGGCGCCCTGGACACTGCCCACCTGTGAAACCCAGCCCCCCTGGCCTTGTGGGGGCCAGATCGAGTTCCGGGACTTGGGGCTGAGACACCGACCCGAGCTCCCGCTGGCCGTGCGGGGTGTGTCGTTCAAGATCCACGCAGGAGAGAAGGTGAGCAGCGCTTCCAGACCTTCTTCCTCATGGAAGCCAGGCCACAGGGCAGCTGGAGAGGACTCGGGGCCATGGCCAGGCTGGGCATCTCCCCAGGGCTCAGGCCCTGAGCACCTTCCCATTCCACATCCCCACCCCGGGGCACCTCATCTTCAGGCCCACCACCCCCTAAGTTGAACTTATCTCACCAAACCTGACTCCACCAGGGGAAACCCACTCACCCACCTTGATGCCATCTCCCCAGCTTCCCTTTTCTTCTTTCTTGAACATCAGTTGAACTATCGGGCAAAGTGCTAAATGCTCCATATACTTCACCCAGTTTCATGGGCTCAGATCCTGGCTCTGCCAAAGCTCACCTCGGGCAAGTTACTTCATGAGTCAGTTTTCCCACCTGTAAATGGGAATGCCAATGTCAACGTCACATAGCGGTGTTTTGAAGTTTAACTGCCTGGAACAGTGCCTGGAACAGAGCACATGCCTCAGAAATGTTTACCAGTGCTTTCATTCATTAGCATTTGCATTTTCACTCTGACAACAGCCCTATGAGGAAGACGCTAGTATTGTCCCATCTATCCCGTTAGGCTCCTTCACTGAATCCCTCTTCTCCCTTCCCACCCTGTGACACTTCCTCCCTGAAGCCCTCCTTGCCCTCCCCCTGATGGCCCCAGGCCCCCATCTGAGCCCTCAGCCTATATCTGTTCGCCTGTGACCTTTATTTGAGCATGTCTTTCCCCTGCTCAAGACCTTCCACCTGCTCCAGGCTTCCTTCAGGGCAAAGCCCAGACTCCTGAGCTTGGCAGTCAAGGTCCTGCCCAGCTCTCTGCTGCATTCAGTGCCCTGCCGGGGCTGAGTCCACATTTGTGGAGCAGCTGCCTCTGGGAGCTCAGGGAGCTTTCAATCTAGCACTGTGGTTTACCTGGAATCTCCCCCGTCTCTGAACTCCTGCTTGCCTTTCAATATCCCACTCAAGTACCCCTCCTCCATGAAGCCTTCTCTGATTACCTCATCAACCCCTATCCAAGGGAGTAGGAACAGCTTACCTCCTGGCTTACCTCCATTGCTACAGGTCCGGAGCTTGATGGTAGAGAGTGATCATCACACTTTATTAAAATTAAGTTTACTCAGTCGCCCTCCTTTCGAGAGCACACAGTCCTTTGGCGCAAGGACTCTTTATTTTTATGCTGGTGTCTAAGAGGGTGGCTGTCATACAGTGGGGTGACACATTTCATTCATTTATTAAACAAATAGTGTCGACCCCCCACCATGTGTCAGACACTGAGCATGCAACAGTCAGCAAGAAAGATAAGAATGAAAGGGTAGATGGGGGACAGATCAAAGGATGGACAGATAAATGGAAGGATGGGGGATGGATGGCTGGGATGGGGATGGATGGAAGGAAGGATGATGGTTAGATGGCTGGACAGGAGGTCGTGGGAGAAAGGATGAGAGATGGATAGAAGGAAGGATGAGGGACAGATGGAAGGATGGGACATGAATAAAATGACATGGGGCTGGAAGGAAGAATGAGGGATGATGGAGGGCTGTGGACGGAAGGATGGGGGAAATGGAGGAACAGAGGAGGGTACGGATATGGAAGGAAGGTTGTGGGAATAGTTGGGAAGATAGGAGAGACATGTTGGGATGAGGGAAAGATAGAGAAGAATACAGACAGAAGGTTGGGTGGATCGACGATGGATATAGGGAAAGTTGGGTAGATGGAAGGATGGATGCCCAAAGGATGATGGGTAGTGGGCGGATGGATCTTGGGTGCAGGGGAAACATCTCCCAAAGAGATGCCCAGGAAACCTAGGCTGTGCCCGCCTTCTTCTGGCCCGGCCTAGTCACAGGGGCCTTGCCCTCTCATCCCCTGGCAGGTGGGCATTGTTGGCAGGACGGGGGCTGGGAAGTCCACCCTGGCGGGGGGCCTGCTGCGGCTCCTGGAGGCAGCTGAGGGTGAGGTCTGGATCGACGGGGTCCCCATCAGCCATGTGGGGCTGCACACGCTGCGGTCTAGGATCACCATCATCCTCCAGGTGAGGCCTCGGGACAGGGTGGGCAGAGGTGGGATCGTGGCTGGGCCAGCCCTGACCCATTGCCCGTCCTGGCCAGGACCCCATCCTGTTCCCCGGCTCTCTGAGGAGGAACCTTGACATGCTACAGGAGCACACGGACGAAGCCATCTGGCAGGCCCTGGAGACGGTGCAGCTCAGAGCCCTGGTGGCCAGCCTGCCCGGCCAGCTGCAGTACGAGTGTGCCGACCAAGGCGATGACCTCAGGTAGGGTTGCCCCACCACAGCCTGGACCTCAGGGAGCTGGAGGGAGAGGCACGTGTGGCCACGGCTCTCCCCAGGGGCAGTCTGCCCTGGAAGTGTGCCTTCCCCATAGATCATCAACCCCATCCTATTAATAATCACGGTAGGAGCCCCGACCCTTGTCAGCAGTTCCAAACTCCAACACCATCTCTGAATATCACGTCTCTTTTTCCTAAATTCGGTTTCCCAATTTAGTTAGTGGCAAAACCCAACCTCTACTGACACAAGACTACATAGAGCCTTTATCCCACCCAGCACCTATTTTGCTATAGAAATAACGTGTGTGATATTGGGTGCTGGACCCATGCCCACTGAGGGTACCAAGTATGCCTTTGAAAACATTTAAAATGTAGTAAAAAATACACCGTAAAATTGACCATCTTACCCATTTTTAAGTGTATACTTCAGTAGCATTGAGCACATTTATATCACTGTGCTACCCAACTTCAGAACTTTTTCATCTTGCAAAACTGAAACTCAAAAACTCTTTAAACAATTCCCTATTTCCCCATCCTCCCAGGGAAACTGAGGCACGGCGGGTTCGAATGACTTGCCTAAAGTCACCTGATCAAAAAATGGCAGGATGGGGATTTCTACCAGCTCTGTGGACTGGGGGCCACCACTTCTGTGGCTGTTGTGGAGACGCATTTGTGGGCACGCCTTGCAAACCCTGATGTGTAGACACACAAACATCTGGCCTGATTGTCCCACTCCCTCCTAGCCTGGGCCAGAAGCAGCTGCTGTGTCTGGCACGTGCCCTTCTCCGGAAAACCCAGATCCTCATCCTGGACGAGGCCACGGCCGCCGTGGACCCGGGGACTGAGCTGCAGATGCAGGCCGCCCTTGAGAGCTGGTTTGCCCACTGCACGGTGCTGCTCATCGCCCACCGCCTGCGCTCCGTGATGGACTGTGCCAGGTAAGTCCCCCCAAGGCGCTGGCCCCAGGGACCCTGCAGTGGTGAAGGAAGGCATCCGCATTTAGAGCTGGAAAGGTGATGGAATGGATTATCAGGTGCCCATTGTACAGGTGGCAAGACTGATGCCCAAAGGGGGAGAGATGAGCCCAAGGACATATGCCCAGTAGATGCTTACAACCAGGAAACCACGCAGAAGGCCAGACTTCTGGGGAGCAAACCTCAGAGCAGGCATGCTGGGCTCTCCGAGCAGCCCAGGCTGGTGTCCAAGGAGCTGCCTATCTCCTTCTCCCCCGCAGGGTGCTGGTCATGGACAAAGGGCAGGTGGCAGAGAGCGGCAGCCCTGCTCAGCTGCTGGCCCGGAAGGGCCTGTTCTATAGGCTGGCACAGGAGTCAGGCCTGGTCTGAACCAGACCCCTCAACCCTCCCGCCACGCCAACCTGGAAAGACGTGCCATGCCCTGGAGATACCAGTGACCTGGGGGTCATCAGCAGAGTCTAGACCCCTCTGCTCTCCGGGATTGGGTGGCAAATGGCAGGGAAAGTGGACGATCATCACAGACCCAGGAGGATGCAGCAACCCCCAAGGTCGGCCTGATCAGAGCCCGTCCAGCCTTGTCCATCCTGGACCCAAAGTGGACAGTGGCTCTCAGCCCTGGCTGCCCATTGGACCCACGTGGAACCTCAAGACCTGCCCACACCCAGGCTCTACCACAGACCAATGAAGTCATTAACCCTGTGGCAGGGCAATGGTGTGTGTACTTTCCCAAATTAACCCTTTTATTTCGAGATGAGTGTAGATTGACCAGCAGTTTTAAGAAATAATCCACAGAATGCCTGTGCACCCTTTTCCATTTCCCCCAAAAGTAACACCTTGAAAAACGCTAGCGTGGTATCACAACCAGGATATTGACATTGGTACCATACACAGATCCTGCTCAGATTTCCCTGTACTAGTATGTGTGCGTGTGCATGCGTGTGTGTGTGTGTGTGTGTGTGTGTGTGACTTCTACACAATTGTATCACACGTATAGGTGGCATCCACCACCACTTCCATCACCACGACGACCCCTGGGGCTGCCGTTCTGTGACCACACCCTTCCCTCCTGCCCCCGCGGCCCCCAACATGCTCTCCATTCGGGCACACGGTATATTTTTAAAGCTCCCCGTATGATCCCAACATGCACCAGGACTGAACGCCATGGCTCCTGCTGCTCCTCCCACCCTTGTACACGGGCTCCAAGAGGCATCTTGTCTGAATTAGACACATGAGCCACGACCCACACCACGATGGGGCCCTCTGGGCACAAGCATGAGGACACACGGGCACGCAGTTCAGCTCCGAAGGCCAGAGGGGAGGGGCCGGGACTTCTTCAGGAGAAGTCCTGAGGGAATCGCTCCGGACCTGGCACATGTCATACATCTGTTTGTTACAGACCAAATTCCAGCTTCTTGGGGGAGCCCCAGAAGCAGTCAGAACATCCCAGGCATTTCTGTTCATACTTCCTCCCCCGAGGGGGCCGTGTGGGAAATGCTGCTGGAGTCAGAGGTCAGGGTGGTGACGGGCAGCCCCTGCCTTCCTGAAGGGCGGTGCACAGCGCAGGTGCTCAGGCCTGTTTCTGACAGCGGTCGGAATCTTAGTGCAGGGCTCTTACGACTGCCTTCAGGCACCAGGAAAGGGGGCTCGATTCTCAAGTAGCCAAAGCCGAGGTTCCCCAGACACAGCTAACTGTAGTGCAGCGTGAGCAATGAGGCAACCCAGGCTCCTCACTGACTCATGGCATTGCTGCAGGAATAGAGGAAGCTAATACACGGAAACGTGTTCAGAGCCGAGCCGGGCACAAAGTGCGTGCCCAATAAACGTTCACGATGATCACTGTTGTATCTGAGGGCCTCTGTGGGCAGCGAGAAGGGTCCACACACCAGGACTTTTATTCTGGTCACTACCGACATGTGGGGTAGATAATTCTCTGCCACGTGGGGTTGTCCTGGGCACTGTGGGATGTGTAGCAGCATCCCCGGCCTCCACCCACTAGATGCCAGTAGTACCCCCGCCTCCAGTTGTGACAAAAATGTCTCTAGATGTTGCCAGATGTCCCGGAGGGAATCAAATCCACCCAGTCCAGTCACTGGGCTAACCCGGCCCATTGCCACCAATAATCTCCTGAGACCGGGGCAGTGGCTGCGCTGGTGCACCAGCAGGCGCCTGTGGACACCCAGCTGCCTGACAGGACACAGCCTGCTCTACCTCGTCAGGTCACAGGGACTTCCTAATGGGACATCCCGACACAGGTTTCCAGCCCAGAGTGATCCACATTTAATTGCAGCTTCTACCTCCCTCGGCCGAGATGTGGCGAGCAGCGCATTTTGATGACTTCAGATTGGGGTAGGGCGCCTGCACCTCTTGCTTCTCCCCTGTTGTGCCTATGAAGTGCTGGCCCCACCATTACTGGCAATTACGAGCTCCATTTCGCAGATGAGGAAACTGAGGCTCAGACAGTTGCCATGACCTGCCGAGGTCACCCAGTTAGTAAGTGGCAGGGAGGGGATCTGCCCCTGGGGCCATCTCACACCAAAGCCCAAGTCATCATGTGGGGGTTGTCTTTCCAACTTGGGAGCCTGGAAAGGGACCCGACATAGCGCTTCTCGTTGCTCTGCCGGGAGCTGAGCCACCGGACGGCCCGGCAGAGCGGCCGCAGGCAAAGGCGGCAGCAGCTGCGTGTTTGGCAAACTCACTTGGGGTCATTCCAGGGTCACAAAAGCCTACTTTCACGGAAGGAGATGGTCTGCCAGGGCGCAGAGTATGGGCCACAGGAGCCAGCGCCCACGAGCCTGCTGACAAGGCTGCTGCTGGCCCACACCCTTGCTGTGGGGACGCTGTGGGGACCAGCCTGCATGCCATCCAGGCCACTAATCCCCTCCCCTCCCCCCCCACCGTGGCTCCTGCCAGCAGAGCCTGGCTGGCGGGGAACACACACATCCAGGGAAGCCACACATGGAGCTGATCGCACCTGCATGGTCATTTACTTCATTTGAGACACTTAAGAGTGGGTGTGAGTCGTCCACACTCTCCCTTCTATGGTGACCTGGAAGCCAGCTCCTGAGAGGCAAGGTCAAAAGGCGAGAACAGCCTGGCTCTCGCAGTGGCTGCTTGGAAGGGAGTGATCCTGCAGGGGCGCCTGACCCTCATCGGGACGTGTATGAGCAAGAAATAGAACCCTGTGTTCATTTCCCATGAGTTTGCGGCTACAGCACGGCCCAACCTATCCTGACTGTATTAACACAAAGGGATTTTCAAGGGCCACGTGATTTTTGCCTTAGAACCTGACCTGGGCCACACACACATCACTGCTCATCTTCACAACGTTCCCACCGTGCAGGTGTGATCAGCTCCACTTGACAGATGAGGCAACAGGGACTAAGTGACTTGCCCAGGGTCACACAGCCAGCAAATGACAAGGGCAGGACTCAGCGCAGGTCTGTCTGACCCCAGAGCCCAGGCTCTGTCCACCGGGCCACGCTGACCCCCCACTCTACCCCACACAGCTCTTAACCTCTAGGCTCCCATTTCCGACAGGGGCTCCCACTAGAGATGGCATGTCTGCCAACAGGAAAGAAGGAAAGCAGACAAGAGGGGAGCCGCTGACTCCCAGAGGAGATGGCTGAAACCCCAAAGAAAATGGAATCGTTATTAGAAAGAAATAAAATTTTTTTTTTTTTACTGCAAATTGCTTGTAAATGTTCTCGTTTCCAGTGTAAGTCATTACAAAACGATTCCCAAGAAAAACTTGGTTTATCTAATGTGAAAGAATGGTATAACTTACAAAAAATAAATATATATTTCCACCTAAAGGAAGATGCTTTTCTGGATTTGAAGTCAGCAAGGGAATCTCGGGGCAGCAGTGGCCCCTCTGCTTTGTGGGTCTCCCCTGGGTCTCTGGTCGCGAGACCTAAAGGACGGGCCCTGGAGGTCTCCACTCGCTTTTTCTTCAGGAACCCGCAGACCCGCTGTCAGATGCCGGCCACCTTGGCTTTCCCTGGGAGAGCTGCTCCCGGCCCAACACTTCCGCCCAAGAAATTAAGTTGGGAGAGTGTTTCTCCCAGGAGCAGTACTTTAAAAAAAAAAAAGAAAAAGAAAAAGAAAAACAATCACTGATACTCGTGAATGGGTTCTTTTCTTGTCCTGGAACACACTCAGTAACTACACGTCCGGTTCTCCACACTGCCGCCTCTGACAGCTAGCCGGAGGCCAAGGGTGAGGAACTGAAATCTAAAAACGAGGAGAAGTCTCAACAGAGCTCGATTCAGTACCCGCTGGTCATCCGTGGCGGTGCCCAGTGCTCCTGGCTTTGAACCCTTCACAACCACGAGCAAACCCCTTCCAGGTGCCTCGAGGTAATCCATTCTGGCAACTGGCAAAAGGAGGCAGGAGGAAAGGCAGAGAAAAGACCGGCGTGGCTGAGGAGGTGAGCAGCCAACGTGGGAAACTGGTACTGAGAGAGGATCCCTCAGCCCTGGAGTTCCAGGTCCAGGTCCCCCGTAAGCCCAGCCCGTCCTGCCAACGAGAAGCCCACGGGTGATGAGGCTGCCTCTGGCCTGTGAAGCAAGTCTCGGTGCAGGCAGTGCTGGGACGCTGGCTCCGTGTCTGAGCGTCCAGACGACGGGATGGTTGGTAAGAGGAGTGTCCACAGCCCCCAGGACACCGCCTGAGGGTGAGGATGATCTTCACCAGGCCCCTCACCTCCAAACAGCAGCCCCAAGGAGACGAAGCATTCTGGGTGGAGCCCAGATGTTAGAGGTGCCAGGACAGCAGCCGAGGCCGAAGACTTGGAATTTCAGACTTTGGCTAAAGAGATTTGAGGCAGTTGGCTGGATTTGGTCACTAGCATGTTTTACGCAACCAATTTCTCGAGAAGTCTGGCTGCCAAACTTCCCTGCAGAGCACCAAGAGCACGAGCAGGCCCTCCCAGGTTGTGCGACGCCGGTGCGTCCTGCGGGGGTAACAGGCAAGGGTGTGCTGTGCGTGTCTTTGGTGGGCTGCGTCTCTGTGTCCCTCCTGTTTCTTCACAGCCAATTCCAGGTGGCGGACCAGAGGGTGGCTGCTTTGTGGTTTTGTTTTATTGGGTTTGGTTTTATTTCCTTTTTTGGTTTCAGTGTATGGGAGGCTTGGGTTCCCAAAGAGGCTGCTGACTCATCCTGGGACAAGGCATGTGGGCCTTGCAGGTCAAACCAGACGCACCAGCGCTGGGCTTACACCAAGCCGGCATCTTTGGCCATGCTGTAGAACAGGCCTCTCTGCTGCAGGAGGTCAGAGGGGGCGCCGCACTCCTGGATCTCTCCTTTGTCCAGGACGATCACTCTGCAAGCGGAGGGCACGCAGACATGAGTGGTAGGAGGGGTTGGCACCTCATGCCCGCAAGAGCCCAGCTGGGCAAATCCTGGCTTTGGGTCAGGCCCCTCACCTCTGTCTGTTAGGACTGCTGCAGTAGCCTTCCAACTGGTTACCCCTTCTCAAGCCCTATTCCTAGTCAATGTCAAAGTCCTGTGATGCTACACACGACACTCACTATCACCTACTCTGTTTCCTTCCCAGCACAATTTGCTTGTATTTATTGCCGTGTTTATTATCCGTCTCTGCACCCAGCCCCCAGCTAATCTATAAGGCCCCTTAGCCAGGCTTCCTGCTGAGTCCCCAGGACCTGGAACAGGGCCGGCTTTGTGGCAGGCACTGCACATGTGATGACTGAACAAATGACTGAGTGACGTCAAAAATACCTGGTACCACCCGGATAAAGCGAGGTCCCACCAACTGGGGCTGTCCCCATGCATAGGACAGTGTTGAATGAATGAATGAGTGAATGAGTGAGGTGGGCACCAAGGCCTAGAGGCCTTCTGTGCCAGATGCTTCACCTGGTGTAGTCCATGATGGTGTTGAGACGGTGAGCGATGGTAAGGACAGTACAATCGTCGAACTGTGTCCGGATGGTGGACTGAATGAGGTCATCGGTTTCCAGGTCCACGGCCGCCGTGGCCTCATCCAACACAAGGATCTTCGTCTTCCTCAGCAAGGCCCGGGCCAGGCAAACGAGCTGGCGCTGCCCAACACTTGACCAGAGAAAAAGACCAGGAGACAGAGAGTCAAAACCACCCCTGACCCTGAGCCCTGACCTGAGCTGGGAGGAGGGAGAAGAGACTTGGTGCTGCTTGGAGCAGGAGAGGGTCCACTCCCATACCCGTGCTGATGGCAGACATCACTAATCCATCACAATGTTCTTCCTGTTGAGCTAGAAGCGAGCTCGGGATCATTCTCAGCCCAGGGCTCAGAGGAATACGCAAACATTTGACATGTTCAGCGTGGGTAGTGTGACAGGCAGGAAAAGGGGCCCCGTATCCAGGCCCTCACAACTGACTCTGGATTCAACCACGTGCCTTGTTTTGGCCAATGGGGTGCTGGCCAACATAAGGCTGGCAGAAGCTTAACATGGGAATGTATGCCAGGGTTTGCACCTCTGCCATCACCATGACAACACGCCTGGGCTGGTCTGCTGGAGGATGAGGGACATGAACTGCCCCAAGGGAGGCCAATCAGATCAGCCAATTGCAGCGGACCCCCAGTCACATGAATGAGCCCAGTCATGATGAAACCTGGCTGAAACCCATTTTATAGATACTGAAACTGAGGCTCCAAGAAACAAGAGGCTCATGTGTGGCAGAGCTGGGACTCAAACCTGGATCAGACACAGATGCAAAAGGACAGAATCATCAAGCGCCCTGACCGAGGGGGAACCCACCTCAGGTTCTCCCCGCCTTCCGTGCACTCGTGGTTCAGCTTGTCAGGAAGGGCCGACACAAAGTTCTTCAGGTGAGCCAGCTCCAGTGACGTCCAGACCTCTTCATCCGAGTACTGGCTGAACGGGTCCAGGTTCATGCGGAGAGAACCCGAAAACAAAATGGGGTCCTGTTCAGAGAGAAGACAGCCGTCAGTATGTGAGGCTCAACGTCAGCTGGCCGTGGATGGGACAGAGGTGGGACACAGAGAGTTCTTGCCAGAAATGTTCACAATTGGGCATGAGAGTTCCTCAGAATCGCTATTTCTAGAGATCTTAATAATGGGGGCAACAAGAGGCTCATGTGTGGCAGAGCTGGGACTCAAACCTGGATCAGACACAGATGCAAAAGGACAGAATCATCAAGCGCCCTGACCGAGGGGGAACCCACCTCAGGTTCTCCCCGCCTTCCGTGCACTCGTGGTTCAGCTTGTCAGGAAGGGCTGACACAAAGTTCTTCAGGTGAGCCAGCTCCAGTGACGTCCAGACCTCTTCATCCGAGTACTGGCTGAACGGGTCCAGGTTCATGCGGAGAGAACCCGAAAACAAAATGGGGTCCTGTTCAGAGAGAAGACAGCCGTCAGTATGTGAGGCTCAACGTCAGCTGGCCGTGGATGGGACAGAGGTGGGACACAGAGAGTTCTTGCCAGAAATGTTCACAATTGGGCATGAGAGTTCCTCAGAATCGCTATTTCTAGAGATCTTAATAATGGGGGCGGGGGGGGACCTGGAAATCTCTGTGTTAGGTGAAATAGAATAGATTACTTTTTTGAGAAGACTTCCTGGAGTCTTCAATATGCACATCTTCCAGAAAGATGTGACATGGTTAATTCCTAATCGTCAGGTACTGTGGATTCCTCCCAATCCCCTGCCTCCAAAACAGAATCTTACAAGAAATTTCAGGAAAAATAACATTAAAAAGCAACATATTAGGGAAACAGCACCTTCAGGAATCAGTCTAGAAAATTCTTTTTTTTAAAAATCACATCTGTAGTATTTTTTTAACATATATTTTTATTGATTTCAGAGAGGAAGGAAGAAAGAGAAACATCAATGATGAGCTGCCTCCTGCACACCCACAACTGGGGATGGAGCCTGCAACCTGGGCATGTGCCCTGACTGGGAATCAACCAGGACCTCTTGGTTCATAGGTTGACGCTCAACCACTGAGGCATGCCAGCAGGGCTAGAAAATTCTTCTCACTTAGCTCTTGGAGGGGTAAGAGAGTTTTGTCCTGACTGACAGCCAGCAGAAAGCCAGTGCCTACGCCTCCCGTTAGATGCTCTGGGTGGCATGCAGGGACGACACCTGGTTAATTCCCATTGCTATTTATATGCCAAGAGGAGATTCAGTGGAGAAGTGACATAGCATAATTTTAATAAGAATAATAAAGCAGGAACACATTTATATCTGTATGCTGAAAACAGAAACGCATTGCTCTCAGTGGGACCCAGCGCTCCTGGTGGCCTCACACAGACCCCACCTGGGGGATGATGGTGATCTTGAAGCGGAGATCGTGCAGGCCGATTTTGGCGATGTTGACGTTGTCAATAATGATCTCTCCTTCTGAAGACTCCTTGATCCGAAACAAGCCCAGGGTCAGGGATGACTTCCCGGCTCCCGTCCGCCCCACGATGCCAACCTGTGGGACAGGAAGGACCAGCGTGAGGTGGGAATGCTGCTATCTGGGGGATACCTCCTGTCTCAGAACACCCTCATGTCAGTCATCTGCCCCAGAGCAGCTCAGTCATCTGGTCAACCAACTCCCACCACAGCCCTCTCCCTCCAGCTTCCTAGAAGCGTTCCTTTAGGGGCTGTTGTCGGCTCTTTATATGTTAAAATGATAATTAGCTCTTTTTATAAGCTACTAGACCTCCAAAGACCCAGGCATCAGACAGGGAGGGAATTTAAATAGGCCCTATTATTTTCAACTCATGATGATATTAAGTAATAATCAGGTTATTTCCCTCACACTGTTCTTTTTTCTTTTGTTGTTGTTGTTAATCCTCACCCCAGGATATTTTTTCCATTGATTTTGAGAGAGAGTGGAAGGGAAGGGGAGG